TGTTTACTGTCTTCCCGTACGATTGTTGCGATGGGGAGCTTACTTTGACTTTCAATATTGAATGTAGATGTCAATTATGTGTTGTGTAGTAAAAGCCTCGGAGAGGTAGGCGTACCGCGTGAAGTCCTTCTTTGTCCCTGATGCCCTCCCACCCAATACATTTGAAACCAAGATGGCTGCACGTTATCTTAAACACTCGACCGTCACGTTCTCAATAAAAATAAGCGTTCTGTGAACAGTACACAGATTTTCCGTGGTAGAGCCGTGGATACGTGTGTAGAGCCGTGCTGTACTTTCATTTACGGAAACGGCGAATGTAAGATTTGTTGTTGAATCATTCTGGTATGAAACGTTGTTCTGTATACACATATTCATTTCTGCTTACTCTGATTGGCACTTTTTTTTCTGCTTTATATTGTGTTTTTCTATGGGACCACTTAAGGCCCTTTCACTTAAGTGCACGTAAAACATAACTTTTTTCGGGAGACCCCATCTTTGAACGAAATCTGCCAGTCTTTATTTTCCTGCTACCCATCACATATACTCCCTATGTGTCTCATCAATCTAAAAATAAAATGCTACAATTTGAAGGTCACACGCGAGAGTTTGACGCTCCTCCCTGCACACTTTGCACGCCGCTCTACTCACAGAACGCGGGTTGGTATTCGATTATTTTACAACGTTTTCTTTTAGGCGGTCTTGCTATTGCTGTCCCAGGGGAGGTTCACGGTCTTCGCCGAGCTTGGAGAGAATACCATCAGTTACCTTGGGAGACACTGGTCCAGCCTGCTATTGATTTAGCCAGAGACGGTTTTCCAATAAGCACCGCGGTAGCCGAGGTCCTGAGTGAAAAAGATATGGTATTGAAAGTGAAAAACTATTCTGGGTTGAGGTGAGCTGTTTGATGGTAGTTATTTTCGCGTTTTTATCATTCTACTCGTACATACATACATACTTTATTGACTTTCCTTATGAAGGCTTTTCAAAGAGAATAATTCAATTAATTACATACATCTAAAAAGATAAAAATTTACTGCAATAAAACCCTACTTCAAGGACACTTAAAATATTTACAATAATATTTATCAGAAGTATAATTTATTAATTAATTTTAAAAATTTGTCCTTTAAAACTCTAATAAAAATATTACAATACAATACAATAACTTTTTATTAACTCTCCCAAAGGGCTATTCTGAAGTCAATTTACAAATGCTAAAAAGAAGGGGATAAGAAGAAAAAGCTTAAATTATATTAATTACAATCTTAGTACAACACTAAAAGCCTAAACTATATGCGCGTCCAATTACGTTATCTCTTTGGAGATCTAAACTAAATCAAATATTAACTATTTAACGCATGGGATGTGCACCCGCAATTCGCGTTCACACTAAAATTTAAATGCTCCTTTGACTTTTATCATGTTATTTTTGTTTGACATATTTCAGCGAACTTCTCCTGGATAAAAATGGCAAGCCTCATAAAGAGGGGACTATCATCAAAAACGAAAAGTACGCGATGACACTGGAACAAATTCGAGACCATCCTGAATATTTCTATAATGGGCCGCTGGCCAAGAGTATCTCACAAGACATAAGAATAAGTATTCCAGACGAGCAAAGAAAGGGACAGGTCACTGAACAAGATCTGAGGAACTACCGGACAGTGATCAGGGAACCCCTAGAAATGGAACTAGCGGGAATGAAAATGCTCCTTACTCCTCCCCCTACAAGTGGCGCTGTACTAGGTCTCATCTTAAATATACTGAAAGGTAGGTAGGCGTTCCGTTCTCATTATCATCATCATCATCATCTATTTGCTATTAATAGCAAAATAAACATAATACGGTGGAACCTGAGTCAAGCGGACCCCATATTAAGGGATCAGATATACTGACGTAAATTCCTTACTTATCTATCTATATATTTTTTTAAATGAATAATTATGAAATTGAATTCCTCTGTTCTGTCAAGTTGTACAGCAAAGAAAAAATAGAATTTCCATTCGCCAGCGGGTTTAAAAGAGTGCTGGTACTATATACAGAGCTCCCCTGAATATTCCATGCTACACGTAGTTAAATATCTTTAAAGAATCAAGTGCAGTTTGATTTTATAGGTTACAACATGACTTCATCAGCTCGTGATGGTACGGAAGCCTCCGTGTTGACATATCACCGAATCATTGAAGCTTTTAAGTTTGCTTACGCACGGCGAAGTCGACTTGGAGATCCCGCGTTTAATAGGAATATAAACGAGGTAAATGAGAAAACTTTTTTTCCAACCCTCTTCCTAGTTGCACCTTAGTTTTCTACTAAGAAGCTCACTGTTCTCTTTAAAATGTGCAGCTTTGAAACATCCTTTTTTTGTATTTAGCAATAAATCTCGTTGCAGATTTCGTCAATTTGAAAAACCCCTGGGCTCATTAAATCAGGTATTCCATGTCTGAAAGTCAAAGGGCAAAGTAAGTTTCATAGGGTTTAAGCTACTAGTTAAACATTGCATATAGAGGAAAACCTTCTGATGGATGCATTTAATCTTGGAGGGTGGAGGGGAGGGGGGTTGGATCACTCGGACTCACCTCCCTGATTCGCCAGAATATAAGCACTCCTTCAGTCTATGGCCATTCCCTCTCTCCCTTAGTGTACAATTATACATATATGAACCAATTCGAAGAATGGTGAAGTTGCATAACAGGCTCTGGAATTTTCAGCGCGAAATTTTCTCTACGTTTTTCCTCGGCAGATTGAGCAAAATATGACTGATAGAAGAACAACTAGACGACAAGCTACGTAAACTAATACAAGATGGCGAAACATACGACAACGTGTCATACTACGTGTGGGTCTATTTTAAACCCATCGTTTACCTAGGATATAAGACTGCCATTGACAGGCGTTTTCCCTCCCACCTGCTGGAGCCAATCTGAAGTACTGACTAAGTTGTTAACTCTAGGGATTTTCTTTGCCTGATATTTCCACATTTTTCTTTTCAGATTGCGCAAGAGATGATACAACAACATTTTGGTGACGACTTGCGCAGACATATAAACGACAACAGAACATACAACAACGTGTCTTATTACGCGCGCTCATATTCTGGAGCTGATTATGGCACCACACACGTAGCGGTTTTAGCAAAAAACGGTGACGCAGTTTCAGTGACATCCACTATAAATTACAGGTTTGTTTAGCAAAAGACAATGAGTCTAGAGTCAACGCTTATCCTGAATTTCGTAGGATATTTATAACAGAATGAAATTTTCTCTTAATGTAAATCTTAAGGTCTGCTGGTGTCTTTTGGTAGTGTCATGGTCACGGGACCTGTCACGTGGTCAAAAATTCAAAATGAATAATAAGACATTTAATTATTCATGCAAAATATATCTTCGTTTCTGACTGGCTCAAATCCCCCAGCTAACAATTCCTAACCAGCTAGCGTTAACCAAATCTGGAAAAGGTTTGTGATACATCTGTAAAATTACCTCAATAACCGGACGAGATATCGACAGAAAGGAGGATTGGACCGTAACCGAGAAGCCCTGAGACGAGGTTGCGCTAGCTCAGATGTTTTGGTAGAGCTGGAGAAAATGGCAGATGGTAAAACGATAATCAGATCCGGCTTTGAAATTCGTTATTCGAGTAGAACAAGAATGCCATTTTGTGATCTCGGGATTTCCTCAAATGAGGAATTTTGTCCAGAAATTGAAGTTCATCAATGAACTCAAGAAAAATAAAAGCAAATTCTACAAGCCAGCAAATAAAAAACGGAAAGAAAACTAAAGAAATTTCTTCTCAAGTGGGGGAGCAATTTAAACTTTTGACGATTACTTGACGCTCTAGCTTTCGAAAGGACTTCAGACTATATGATTAACCATGATTGAAAATTCTGAAAAGACCTCACCCTTGCACATGTACTGGTTACCGTTACATGCGCATTTTTCACGCATGAATTCACCTGTCAATCAAATATGTTTTTTCAATAGTTTCCATGGTAATTCTGTAGAGATCTCTTCGTGGGTCAGTAAACTAGAAATATACCGTGAAATTCCGAAAATAAGCCCCATGGCTTATATTTTTCAAAGGCCCTTTTTGATGGGCTTATTTTTGGAGGGGCTTATATACGGAGGGAAAATTGAGTTTCAAAATCGGCTAGGCTTATACTCAGAGGGAAGTTTGTGTCTCAAAATCCATTGGGCTAGCTTATAGTTGAAAGGAAATTTATGTCAGTAATTTGCAGAAAGATTTTACTGAAACTCTCCTTGAGTACGTAGACCTTTCTAAAACGCGGCAATGCAAGTACTTTGTTTATATGGACCGAGGAAATCCAAACCAGACTGAAGAGGGAATTATACGCGCAATAAACTGTGACACTTTGACTGCAATCATTTGGCAAATACAAAAATTATATGTTACTGTACCGTTATTGCTTTGTTTTCTTTGTATTTGAGGGCAATTTCCAAGTACAAGCCCCCGGGAGCTTATACAGCTAGTTCGAGAAAGGTTGTCTGAAAAGATGTGGACGCGACAATCCCGAAAGGTAATATGCGATATGATCAACACATTGTTCCTGACACCGTAGCTGTCGAACCTAGTTTTGTTTCTTTCTTTTAGCACTCGCAAACATACGTCCATGGCCTCTCGTGCCATTCTTTCAAATTTCTTTGAAGAACAGTGAACTCAAAACCACTTACAATACCTTTCGGCATTGTCGCGTGCACTTTTTCCGACAACCTTTCTCGAAATAGCTTTATTCAGAGGGACGATTTAACAGAGGGATTTTGCGTTACGAGTTTGGGGGGCGTATATTTGGAGGGGCTTATTTTCGGAATTTTACTGTAATCATTTTCACTCTCGCTGAATAACGGCCTTAGAAATATTTACCTCGCCCCCTCATCATAGAAAAAAATTTAGGCATCGGTTCTTTTCGCAACTGCATAAGTTGCGTCTTTATCTGCGATGATCTTTTCTTCATTCCGCGGTTCAAATCTATGAAATTCATATATTATAGTTTAATATCATTCGCGTGAATTTTATATTCAAAAGAGACGCGCATGTTTCTTGATCTTCTCAGTTTGTAATATACCCAAGTAAGTGCAGGAATCTGCCGGGTAAGTGCTTTATATATAACTTCACAGTGCTTGAGGCACCCCCTAAAAGGCGACCTTGGCCGCGTAACTCAATAACTCAATCGCCATGTCACTCACGTGAGCTGTGGACCTTTAGAGAAATGTATCCTGAGCCCACCTGAAAAAAGAGTTTAATATGGTAATAGCACCTATTAAATAAGACAGTCCGGCGCGTGGGTTCAATATCCTCGTGTACCTTTACAGAAGGACATGATCAAGACCGCGCAAAAAACGTCACGGATTAAAGACATTATGATAGAAATTACCATGTGTATTGCTGGTTTGCATGCACGTGACGTCATTGCTGCCATGTTGGTGGTTAAGAACAAAAGCATTTCTCTCCTCTGGGAACTAAACTCTATTTTCATGTAAATTCTTCGAGAAAAAATTCTATTGTATTGATCTCCCAACATGGCCGCCTTTTCACGTGGTTGCAAACCAAGAATTGGTACACCAGGACATCACCGTCGTCGGCTCTTGTTTACGAACACGATTTCTGATCTTGACAGATTTGGATGCCTATATCGATCCAACCTCACTGGGATTATCTACAATAATCAAATGGCAGATTTTGATATTCCCGGAAAAGACGAAGGTGGTGTTAAACCATCTGAGGTTAATTTTCCAGCGCCATACAAGCGGCCGTTCTCGTCTATGTCTCCCGCCATTTTGACGAACGATAGTGGTGACGTACAGCTTATAATTGGCGCGTCTGGAGGCAAAAGAACCACCACGGCTGTCTCTCTGGTATGACATAACCATGTGAATTTCAGTTAAACCTCCATTAAGCGGCCACCCTCGGGGTACCAGCAAGTGGCCACTTAAATGGAGAGTGGCCGCTCAAAAAGGCTTGTTAGCATAATCTTTTGCAAAAACATCACTCTATTTTGGT